GGCTTCTCCATTGGCTACTGGTAGCGGGTGCAGGTCCCCCCCCTGGGGCCGTTGCCGTCGGCGGTTTCTGCGGGTGCGCCCCCAGATTCAGGAGGCGCCAGGCACTCACGGGCTCCCTCAAATGCCCAGAACAGCGGTCGGGCATCCAGGTTGTAGCCATGCTGGTGTAGAGGAAAAGGCGATCGGGGCTCGTGGACAGAGGTGATATCTTTGATTAATTAAACCAACAAGATTTTTGAAAAAAAATAAATAAATTCGTTAATGGCCAGCTTTTGGGCCCAGACACCCTTCATCAGGCAGTGGAGAAAAGATTGTAAAAGTTCCCCTGGGTAGAATTGAAAGTTCATATTTCATAGGATTTCACAGAGGAGTCGGTAGATGGAAAACTCGTCTGGGCAGTGGGTTCATAGCTGGTAAGGAGCCTCTCACCTCCTGTCGGGGTCTGTGCTGATGCAGATTACCTTGAAACAAAGGCAAGAGCAGGATCTGCGGTTTCAGGCGGTCACAGTTGCTTCCTACTTGGGAAAATACGAAGATTTCATTTCAGAAATCAGCTAAAATTCAGTATCTTTCGTGTGCCGGGTATCCAGGTTGTAGCCGTGTTGGTCTAGAGGAAAAGGCAATCGGGACTCATAGTAGAGATAATCTGTCTTCTTAGACCAACAAGATTTTTGCAAAAATCTTGTTGGCCTAATAAAAGAGAGCATCTCTACTACAAGTCCTGATTGCCAGAACAGCGGTGGCATCTGGGCAGCGGGCACTGATGTGCTCATCTCCCTCCCCAGACCCCTGTCTGCGCGGGAAGCAGCTCAGCCCTTTGTGTGGGGGACTTATGGCCCAAGCTCAGAAGTCTGGTGCCAAGCAGGGCCCTGGACAGCCTGGAAACACTGCCCCCAACCCCAGGAGAGTATCTACGTGTGACCATTTCTGTTCCCCGCATCTTTGTACTAGACTGTGAGGACAAGATCGGCTTCTTCAAGTGTTTTCAGCTTGTCCCATAACCAGCAGTATGAGGGATCGTTTCAGTGTGCTTCATTTTAGATGGATTTCATAATTGTCCTAAGGTATTTTCATAACACCAAAGGGTCACCAGCCACTTGAAGCTACATCTAATTATGCTTAAAGATGACCTGATAGATTTTAGGAACTACTCCCGCTCCCCCTCAGTTCCTCTGCCAATTTTCATTCCACTACATTTTAGGATATTTTCTTTCTGCCGTGTCTACAGTAGATGCCGGCAAACAGAACAGGTGATTAAATAGGATAAACAGTGACAGTTGCTCCATAAGAAGTGCTGTGAGCACCTGCCCCTCTCCTTAAACAATGGCACCATAAGAACAATCTACATTACTCCGTATTTTTTGTGGAATAACTTTGTAGCTTATTGCCTGTTTTATCATGCCATTAATTGGTGGAACATGTAGCCAGGTCACAACTTGCTTGATTACTTGGTTAATTACACCTTGAGTATAACTAGATAGGGCCATAAACACACCAGATAAACATTTTGTTTTCTTCTCTCAGTTCTAGTAACAGGTGTCCTTTGTAACAATGATGGAAAAAGTCAGACAGGTGTGGGATTTATGACAGCTTTTTAATGCTTGAACTGAACTGACCCACATTTTAACAACTTCATAGGAATGGTTTATGCTCTTTTATGAAGAGCAAATGACACATGAAACAGTGGGATGATTTTGCAATCAGTATTTTATGCATAATATGATGCCTTTACATAACTTGATTTATTACAATGATGTTATATTTCATGACTTATGTTATTCAGTTAAAACACCCAAAAGACACCGCCCTGTAAAAGTATCTTTAACACATTAAAATGGTATACTTGGAAAGCTTCAATGTTGAATGAAATACATATTTCTATTAGTTATGATTTTTTTCTTGTATCTAGCACTGTAGTTTGTAGTGAGTTTTCTGTACAAAAGTAATTGAATCCATATTGCAGACTTATTAAAACAATTTTCTCTAAATCTGTCTGGACAGGAGGAGTTTTTTTTACAAGTTTTTCTGTTGACTAAGAAATTTATTAAGCCACTTAACCCTCATTAGTGAAAAAAGACTTTTGTGTACCAGACAATGACAGTGTGCAAACTGTTGTTTCTTTAACAAAATAATTAGCTTTCACAAACAAGGTGTCACAGGAAGTAAGAGTGTCAATATAGCACTGACAGCCAGCAATTCTGAGAGCTTTTCTAATTGAACATACTTTATACAAGTCATAACAAGATAAGTTTGTGAATATTTTTTTCTGTAATGAAGCTCTTCTAACAAATAAGAATATAGCATCTCAGGTGGACTGTAGTCTAGCTTATGTGCCTTATTAATGTATAAGAATTGGTGATCCATGATTGGAAGGCAAAATAAAAGTTGAATATATTTAAACAATTAACACTTTGGTTACTGATTTAATACAATACATGTAGCACCTTGTATAATTCAATCTCTCTCTTCACAGTAGGTCACTTCCTTATTAAAGATCTAATAAACACATTTATTTCCTTGTTTTCCATCTATGAACTGTGCAATGAAAAAGATACAATTGTATATATTTCTTAGAGTTAGAAGAAAATATCATGAAAAGGTTTTTGAGAGATTAATGGATGCAATGGAAAGATGATTGTACCTGCTGTGTAGAACAGAGCCCCTATATCATTACTAGACTGGGAAGGGGATCCAGGGATACCTGCCCCTTTTCCCTTCCTTCACCTCCCTCCTGCCATCTTTTTCTCTCTTATCTTTTGTGCGTCTGCTAGTGCATCCTAGTTGAGGTCCCTTTCTCTTTTTTTCCTTGTTCCATGGTTGGTTCACGCCCACCCCTTCCTTCCACTTAATCTCTGCGGCCACTTGTTCACGTGCTGGGGGTTTAGTTCTTCCTAAATTGAAATGGCGGGTTTTGAATTGGTGGGGTTTTGTGTTGATTAAAACCCACTGTTTCAATTTAGGGACTTCCATCACCGTGACAGCAGTGACAGCCCCGTCAGCTCCAACACACACACACACACCCTTGCCACAGAGAGGGCAGGCTCTGCTAGAGGAAAAAAAAAAAAGCAGTGAGGAGCCCAATCTTTTTTTTCTTTTCTGGAGCCTTCTCGCCTCTACTATGGCCAGTGAGCCTTGAGCTGCAGTGGGCCCTGGTGCTTCCCTCTGTGGTGGCAGGGCCCCCCAGGCAGCACCCATGTACTAGCACCCCACTTGGGTTGTCCCAGGGGGTGCTGCCACCATGGAAAGAAGCACCAGGGTCCCCCCACAGCTCGGGCTGCACAGCCCACCAGCAGCTCACTCCCTGGCCACAGAAGACTGCTGGCAGTCTCTGGGAGCAAAAAAAAAAAGATCAGGCTCATTGCTGCTGCTTTTTTCTTTTGTCTCAGCAGAGCCTACCCGTGCGAGCTGCCACTGGGTTGCGCAGCCCCTGAGCTACAGGAGGCCCAGAGCTTCCCTCTATGTTTTTTAAACATAATTTAAAAAGAAATACACTGCCGAAGGTGTAGTGTTACAGAATTTAATCATAATAATCAAGAAATACACTGCCGAAGGTGTACAGTGTTACATAATTTAATCATAATCATCAAGATACGAGGGTGTCGTGGGGAGAGGGATTTAACGGTGGGGGTCTACTACAGACCCCCCAACCAAGGGGAGGAGCTGGACCGGGAATTTTTGGGCCAGCTTGCAGGGGCACTTAAGGCAAGGGATGTAGTTGTCATGGGTGATCTA